GTATTATTTCTATATAAATAATAGCAGACTAATAGTGAATAATGTTGTTGTTGTTGTTGTTGTCTGCCTTCGAGTGGAGCATGACTTATAGCGACCCTATGAAGAAAAGGCCTGATGCTTTCTACAGCTGTCGACATTTGTCAAAGTTCATAGAGTTTCCGAAGGCATGTTGTTTAGGAAGTGGATGCCAGTCCTGTTTCCAAACCTGTCATAGAATGTTATTGAGTGAATAACAGCAAATTTTTTATATGTTATTTTATATAAATAGCAAAAGGAATATATATATATAAAAAGAGAGAGAGAGAGAGAGAGACATCAGGATTGGAGAAAGACTCATCAACAACCTGTGTTATGCAGCTGATAAAACCTTGCTTGCTGAAACCAAGGAAGACCTGAAGCACTTATTGCAGAAGGTCAAGGACTGCAGGCTTGAAGCTTAACACCAAAAAGACAAGATTCTCAGCATTGGGTCAATTGGAAGCCATGATAGATGGAGAAAAGATTAAAGTAGTTAACGATCACCTTGCTCAGCCCCCTAATCAAGACTCTTGGCACCAGCAGTCAGGAAGCCAAAAGACAAATTGCACTAGAGAAATCTGCTGTCAGAAAACTTTCCAAAATGCTAAAGAGCAGTGATACCAGCCTAGAGACTAAGGTACATCTGATACAGGTCAGAGTCTTTGCAATTACTTGCTATGCATCAGAAAGCTGTACAATGACTAAAGATGACAGAAAAAGAACTTATGCCTTTGAGTGTGGTGCTGGAGAAGAGTACTGAATGTATTGTGGGCAGCCAAGAGAACAGGTTTATCCTGGAAAGAGTAAGAACAGGCTTCTCCCTGGAGGAAAGGATTTTGATCCTCTGTCTCACATACTTTGAGCACAGGGCCAAGAGGGCCAGTCTTCACTGGCTCTCCAGTTATCATGTCAATTTATCTCTTTTGGGGTCTTCCTCTCCTGCACTGTCACTCTACCCTTCCAAGCATGATGTCCTTCTCCAAGGACTGGTCCCTCCTGGCCACATGCCAAAGTATGTGAAACAGAGCTTCAAAATCCTTCCCTTCAAGGAGAAGCTTGGTTTCACTCTTTGCAAAAAGCACCCATGTGTTCCCTTGGCAGTCCTGTATTTACACACTAACTAGAGGACAAGTGCTTAATTCCCATTCACTACTTTATTCCTACTTCAGTCTTTTGAGGTAGATGCTATCCCAATGGTACAGACATCAAGAATAACTTGTAGAGAGACCAAGAGAAGCTTAAAATCAATAAAGAATTCTTATATAAGTATGGATCAAAGAGATTGCCAAAATAAGCTATCTATCCTTTTATTCTCTACTGTGAACCCTGCAAATGCATTCCAGAAACACTGAACTGCATGTTATGTGGATATATACTGTGATATTTCTCTACTTCTAGTATTTTATTTTACCTAGCTAATTTATAGTTAAAATTCTTCTTCCACAATGTTTGCTGATCCCAATACTCTTCATTAAGTGACTTTTCTCCATGCACACAGGACCTTATATGGTTAAAATGACTATGTTGTCTATTTCTGTGTTTGCCTCCGGCACCCTTCTTCATGAAATAATGTGCTACTTGAGCATGTAAATCTCCTATTAATTATTTTTTATGCCCAGTGAAGCTGAAGTTAGCCAATGAAGATTCTTGTTTAACAACAGAAAAAATTAAAGTATCTACTTGGAAGACTAAAAAAATGACAAGTTGACATATTTTTAATGAGCATATGTCACTCCAACCTGGAAGCCAATTCCATCAGCCCTGGAAATAGAACAGTTTTCCTTCAATGTCTAGCTTTAGACATCTTTCTAGACTGTCTCAATACAAAGTTCTTCCCAACTTTGCTATCCTTGACCTCTAACATGGCTCTAAAACTATCTTATTAGGTTTGGAAAACAGAAGTTACTCCCTAAAATAAATGCACACAGACTTACATCCCATGAAAAATACTGCATGATGTCTGGAAATGCCATCCTCAGATATCCTGAGGCATGTAAACATGACCCAAACCTGTACTCTTCTCTTCAGTTGGTCCACTTCAGTCAATAACCAGGGATTTTCTTAGTGTGCTGATTAGCTCAGTTACAGGATGCATGTGCAAATAGACACTCTCCATATGTTAAAGCCAAAACTGAAACCCAGAGATTTGGCTATTTATAATAATAACAATATCCACTGAGGGCTTTAAGGACCAAGCACTGTGCCCAGATTGCTTCATAGGATAATTGGTAAGAAGTTGCACTGTCAAATCAAAGGTGTGAAGTTCAAACCCTCCAGCTGCTCCATTGGAAAAGGTTGAGAAATCCCCTCACTTTCCATTTATAGCCTCTGAAAAGTCTCTGGAGGGACAGCTATGAGTCAATTTCAACTTGATGACACAAAACAACAATAGCAAACGATAGATACAATTATTGTGGCACATTAAAAACAAACAAACAAAACACCTCGCTGCTGTTAAGTTGGGACCAACTCAGAGCTGAACTTCCATCAGATTTTTGGAGGCTATAAATTATACAGGAGATTACCCACCTTTCTCCCTTGAAACTGCTGGTAGATTTGAGTCACCAGGGATGAACAGTTTTTAGAGTATGAGTGCAACTCTTTGTGGACTACAGCACCAGAGATCCCTCTAGCAAAACACAGCATTGTTAAGTTCAGGAAGATCAAAAGAGGAAACAAAGACTAAAAAAGTCTATGACTTCTTAATTCAATTTCAATTTCCCTATTCTTCTACTACCCTACCAGAAAAAACTGTATTCAAGGCTGTATTCAAAACTGTATTCAAAGCAAACTGGC